CCTTTCCAGAAAAAGTTTTAGGCATTTTGTGCGGTAATGCATGCCAGAGTTTCAGCATCCACCCATTTGGTGAAGTAATCCACTACTACCAGGAAGAACTTCTTCTGTGCAACCGCAGTGGGGTCGAATGGCCACGGGCTTGTGATCGGCTTCAAGGGGATTGCAGGTTGATGATGGAGATTGGAATGTCGCTGGCAATTGTCGCATTTCCAAACTAGCTGGGCCGCGTCTTGCTTCATCGTTGGTTAGAAATAACCTTGCCAGAGTGTCTTGTGTGCTAGGGTGCGCGTATCAGGGTGGTCTCCGCAGATACCTTTGTGGATCTCCCTGAGGACATAATCTGCTTCAGCTGGGGAGAGGCACTTCAGGTATGGGAGAGTATGCAAGCGGTGATAAAGCTGATCTTGGATAAGGCAGTACCGGGATGCTCTATGATGTAACCTCTTTGCTTTTGTCCCATCTTCCGGAAGTGTGCCCTTTCGAAGGTACTGCGTAATGGGGTCCATCAAGGATGGATTGTGTTGTATCGGGAGGATGACGAGGGCCATCGATGTGTTGCTCGACTGGGCCAGTTTGTCCAACCATATTGTCATGTCGAGGTCAGTTTTTGGAGAGCTGGCTAGCTTGGACAGTGCGCCAGCTCGTACATTTTCTACTCAAGAGATCTGTTGGATGTTGAAGTGCTCAAGCCGATGGACGAGCTCTTGCACCTTCTGTAGATAGTTGGCCATGGTGGGTGTTTGTGTCTCGAACTGGTCGTGGATCTGGTTGACTACTAGCTGAGAATCGCTGAATGCTTATATTCTCCAAGCTCCCAGGTCCAGGGCAAGGCGAAATCCGGCGGTCAAGGCCTTATACTTAGCCTCGTTATTAGATGCTTTAAACTCGAATATGAAAGTGTGCTCTAGCACAGTGTCATCTGGGCTGAGGAGGATAAGGCCGGCCCCGCTGCCTTGCCGATTCGATGAACCATCCACATGTAGAGTCCATACTTGTGGCGGCGGGCCGGGTCTTCGGAAGTAAATGTACACTCGGCAATGAAGTCTACCGGAGACTAGGCCTTGATCGCGGGATGGGGTACATACTTGATGTCGAACTCACTGAGCTCTACGATCGTTTCGAGCTTGGCATGACCCACAAACCGTCAGACCGTCGTGCAGGGCCAGTCCAAAGTCAGGCCGGGCTGCTAATTGTGCTGTTTCACTCATGTTAATTTGTGTGTCCATGCCTTAAAATATCGATACAATATGGCCTATATTGAGTATATCATATCCATATTTTGAACCTAAATTAAAACAAAGTAAGATCTAGAAGTTATATAATATCCTATACAGATAATTTTTAGCGTAGATGATCGATCTACTAGTCAAATGAGAGCCATTGTTTGGTATGGTGGTAACATCTCTCTACCTAGCGAGCATGTATATTCAAGCCTGAGAGCAGTCACTTTATAGTTTATATTAGAAGAAAAACAAATACTGGTGTGAGGTTTTTCTTTTATTATCATCTAACCCTTGTCCTAACTATACGAGTTTGGTTACATGAATCCTTAATTCAAAATCTTCCCATGAAATTAATCATCACTTCGGGAAAATATGAAACAGAATTGAGTGGAACCAATTCGCTGAGTTATAAATCCTAATGGCTTGAAAAAAGAAAAGAAAAATAAATAAAGTTATAAATCCTAATCATGGCCCATGGGTGGCAACAATCTGGCCTAAATTTGGATCGTCACGAGTTATGATGGACCTGATAAAAGGCAATCAACAGTCGAAGACCACCTCTTCCATTTCTTTTTCTTTTAATTAGATTAGATTTTTAATAAAACACAAACCATAAGGTAGGTTTTAATAAATTCATGAAATTATAGCAAATAACCCTTTAATAATTTGTATGATGCTGGTAATATATGCTTTAACGTAACATTGACTTTGACACAGTAAGGGGGTATTTTCATACCAAATGTTTATTATTTGTTTTTGAAACCCAAACATCATCACCATCATAAGGTCTCCCATTAATGGGTGTTTCTATACCACCCATTTTGGCATATTCAAAAGGTCTTCCATTAAATGAAGTTTGAAGTATTTGAATTGGTCGCATCAAACTATGTGGCAAAGAGAAATTAATTTTTTAATTCAGAGGTCCCACTAAATACCCATTAAATAGAAGTATTTGAATTGGTCAATCTTATCTCTTTTTCTCATGTTATGTTTGCTAGGGGTGCAACTTAGGGTTAGGTTGGAGTGTTGGTTGATTGGAAATTTCTTAAATGTACAATGGACCCGGATTTAACCCGAGTCCAATGTAATCAAATTCCTCAAGTTGGACAAAATGAATTACAGCCCTAGTGTTATTTCGATCTCAGATGCCAATTCAGATATTATCCCAACAGAGCAAGTTGGTGTCTCTTCAAATGAGATGCAAGTTTTACAGAGGTCAATTAATAACAGCCCATAAAAACAAACTTGTATTGTTTTCCAATAGAAAATAACTAACATGCTGATCAACAGCTAATATAGATAGAGTCGAGAATGCATTCCTTTTCCCTTTTATATCATCAAGAGTAATATTGAAAGCTTACCGAATACCTAGGCCAAATCAAATGAAGTTATTAGCATTTGTTTAAAACTCGGAACCTTGACTGAGGGAGAAGAGTTAGAGATACCTACGCCATAATTTAGTCTACCTTCTCGAATAATCATTGCCAACAACCATGAAACAGTCTCAGGTCATCATCTTAATTCTCTAGGGTTGCGTTCGATTTTGGTGTAAATGCAAATCGATTTAAAACTCCACAGTTGGCTTGCATTTACATGCATTTATTTTCAATGTAAAATTTCACACTGGGTCCATATTTTTATGTGTTTGTTTCCACTTTCCAATGTAAAGTTTACATCATAAATCGATGTAAACCAGCTAATCGGCTGACCTTTTCATCGACAATCGATGTAAATAATATATTGATTTTATTAATGTACATTTACATCGATTATCACGTAAAAAACCTTCAACGGTCCATTAAAATTTTAAACTCATCGATTGAGTTTTACATTGATCATTTTTCCACTGAAATCAAAGAGTCTAGAGGACATGACTAGTATAACGATCTGAGGCCTCGTAACCCACCATCTGTTCTAATTAGAGAGAGACAAGCATAGCTTCTGCCTTCAGGAGGAACCTTTCTTCATCAGCCAAATAAATGCAGTTACAGAATTAGAATCTCTTCTATTCATCCCATGTTTTGGCCTAAATTATATTCTGGATAGGATCAAGGTTCAAAATATTTATACACCCGATGTTCCAGTAGAGACGTATCGGGTGATATCAATAACTGTTTTTTTTTCTATTTTTTTAGTTTTTTTTTCAAATTTGATTCAAAGGAATCCGTTCAAAGTCCATCCACCCTCTGAACCAGTTAAGACCCCGAAACACTCCTTATAGGGACATATCGGGAAGCCCCTGATACAATATCGACTGATATGTATCAAAATTTTGAACCTTAGGTAGGACCCATTTGATCCCAATCCTCAGAACATAAGTGCCAGAGTTACGGGGCCCTAGAGATTAGGCCCCTTTTAAGATTGGGATTTCCACTAATTAATATCTACTTTCCTCTCGAGTCTCGACTAATCCAATGAAACTATGTCACTGTCCCGTAAGTGTTCTAACTTTCGCTTCTGTAAGATGAATGGCTTGGACCCGCTTGAAAAATGAAAATTGTGTATCATGTCATTAGCGAGGCAACACTCGTACTTCAAAGCAGTTTCAGGTTTCAAGATTTTAACCAGGTCATCTCTAGGAAGGGAATTAATGACTGATTATGACCTTTCCCCCCTAAACCTCCCTACATAGCGTTTTAATGGATTCAAAAGCCAAATGTATCATAGGGTTGATTCCATGTCTGATCTTGAGTTTTTTACATGTTTCTAATCGTTATAACACTTCATGGAAGATGTCCAAAATCACCACTTTCAGTTTTATAGAGGATATATAAGATATTTTGAGAAGAGGGAACCAGACCCAACCCATTGACAGCCATAAATGTAGTCAAAACTATTTTGGAATCATGGTGTAGCCAAAAAGAGAAGAATATCACTATTTTGGAATCATGGTGTAGCCAAAAAAAGAAGAATATCACTATTTTGGAATCATGGTGTAGCCAAACAGAGAGGAATACCACTATTTTGGAATCATGGTGTAGCCAAACAGAGAAGAGTATCTCAACTAAGCTTGCTTTCCTGCGAAGAGCCCATCACATCCCCAATCCATGCCATTTCTAACAAGAACGGTTAGGAAGGCATGATCTACAAGTAGACAGACAATCATAGCATGTATTCTTTTGCTTGGCATAACGTGCAAGCAAGAGTTTGGATGTACCAAGCAGCCTAAGCTACATATATTAGATGGTGATATTTCAGATTCTTTTAAATTATGGCCTTGTGGGAGGCTCCTTTTTATGTTAAAAAAATTGCCACGTGGAACATCTAGGTACAATTCAGGAAATTCGGATTAAGTTGGCTTATGTCGGGTATGTCCAGACTCAGGGAACAGGGTACCTGGGACCTCGGCCCGACCCCAGGTTCCAGACTGCGGAACAACCTAAAATTTACAAGCCAAGACTGGTTGGGCTTGGGCTCGACCAAGTTGTAGGTTGTATCCATACTTCTGTTTGTATCTCCTGGTGGATTAACATTCCCTCCATCCCATTTTGACATCATCATCCCTTGGTTGATTAACACAATGAAACTGAACCCATATCTGTTGACAGATGAGAATCAAATTAAATTCTGTATTGTATACATGAAAGGGCAGAGTGCAGAACCTTCATATAGGAGAATTTTTCTGCAGAAAATAATTGAAAGCCGTTGAATCAGCACAACTTAGAACAACTTGAAAGGTTGAAAACATCAAGCATCTTATAAACTGTAGGGGTTAAGCCTCCTCATCCTCTGATAAATTTAAATGAGAGAAAGAATAGAAAGGCCTCTACGAAGGTGTAAGCCAAAACCATACTAAATTTAAAAGAAAGAACAGAATGAAAGATAAAGAAAACATCCGACGCCTAGACTACAAAGCATCCAAGGGTTAGATGGTTACAGAACCTCAAATAATTACTGTACAGACAACCCTTTTTCTATCCTACTGACTATTGTCAATGTATACTGTCCAAGTTCAACTATCGGCAGAAACACAATTTTGTGCACTTTGGTCTCGAAATTTTTGGGCATTTGGGTAGGCAGAAACATTCAGGGCATTTGGGTTGGCACAAGCATACTGGACATTTGGGTGGGCAAAAACATTCTGTGCATGAACATCTGGGTCTGCAGCAGCACTCTGGACACTTGGGTCGGCAGCAACACCCTGGGCACTTGGGTAGGCAGGGGCATGCTAGGCATTTGGGTGTGCACAGACAATCTGGGCATAATTTAACTCCACAGAACCTAATAGTAATTGATTTCTTTGAGTACCGGAGACTCTCCCTAATCTTCCGAAGGCGAATCTCCGTGGTTATGTTCTCCATCTCTTGGATGAACCTGTACAGATGGCGAATGAAGTCAGGGTAGAGCTCCAAATTGCAGTGTCCACCTCCCTTAATCCAGAGGGGCTCATATGGTTCCCTTGCCAATTGCCATAGATTATTCCCATGGAGCCAATTAACTACATCATCATCTGTACCCTGTAAAATGTTGAACCATTCAGTTCAAAGATTTATGGTAAGACAGCAAAATGCTGCAATTCTGAAAATTGAAGATAAACTGTTGTACTACATAAAAAGAGTTGAAGCAACATCAACATTTTGATGCATATGATTCAGAAGAGATCCATAAAAAAATTGAGACAGTTTCACGTGGCTACTTGGAGTAATTCACAGGTTTGCTGAACATAGTTGTGAAATCCTCGTGTTCGTTGTCAAAATTTATATGCTGACAAACCTGTTCACTTGGACCATCACCATGAGGGATATCCAAAGTTATCCCCAACAGCAGAGTGATAGTTGTGAAATCCACTTATCAGTCTTTTTTCTTAGATAAATGATATATATTACTGAGATATAATACAAGGAAACTGGGAGAGTAATACCAAGGTTCAAAGTATCGACACAGGGCATATTGTTGGTGCTTTTTTTTATGTTATATTTATTTTTTTTAAAACCGGTTCAGAGGGGTCGGTTTAAGTCCCGGCTACCCTCTGAACCATGCTCTGACCTGATACAACCCCTGTAGGGGCGTATTGAGAAGCTCCCGACATGATACGTATTGGCCGATATGGGCTGGT